CGTTAGTTGGAGGACCAAGGTGTGAAACTGAAGTCCTTGGGAAATTAGAGCGTTTTGAATATCGAGATGTTATGTAGGATTTGAGGTTTTCACAGCGGTGAGTCTGAAGACGGAGGCAGTATGACCTCTGACACGGTGGAAATCTATCAGACTTCACAGCGCAATAACCCAGAAGACAGCAATAATCGATATATTAATTTTTCGCTCAGAGTTACGTAATTTGCAGTCGTATTTGGAGTGAAGGGTAATTACATGAATTGGGGAGAAATGTTTTTGCCCCTTTCATAACAGAGACAGAAATTGAGAAATTTCTCTTCCGTGAATCCCACACAAAATTCCATCCAAAATATTTTTAAGCGCAGTTCATAATATTCGTGAGTGATGTTAATGTCGATAATTGTTGTTGATTCCGACGTAATAGCGAACTGTTTATCAAGTTTCCTGTTGGGCGTATTTAATGTTGAAGGAAATTGGAATATATTCTATTAGCAACACTAGATTTAAAATTCTCGTGATACACTTTGGAGGATAGTACTGAATTTGAGTCTCGATGTCGAGGCACCTTATTAGGTTAATTTAAATGCGTGTGCATCAGATGGACGTTTTAGGAAATATTTATTTGTTGAATTTACATTTCAGGGTAGGCCAAAACATGGTGAAGTTTTCCCCTTTTTAGGAAATATTTATTTGTTGAATTTCAATTTCAGGGTAGGCCAAAACATGATAAAGTTTTCCCCCCCGTTACCGAGGAAAATGTGTAATTAAATGACGCATACCAGGTTCTTGTTCATGTTGATATGTCGGGGAAGAATAGACCCGTATATAAAACATGTTTAATTATATGAATGCATGTATTGAAGCGTAGATACTTACAGACACAGGGTTTATAATATTTATTATGTTAATTGGTGTTGAAACTAAGCCGACACGTGGTGTAACAAGTCGATCGTTTCGATATTATTAATCGATTAATGTCACTGGCGCCGAAAAATATTTCGTCGATTGCTAACATAATTTCTGTTTCGTACTGACGCCACATTTTGACGGTTTGCACACCCACGTGCAAATGAACAGGAGATAAATCTTTCATCGTTTGAATAAATCGTCTTTCATTTCCGGATGACCTCGTTTTGAAAACAGTGTGACTTAAATATGTGAATTATGTTCGGTAAGTCATCATATAAGCCTCAATTTTGAGCTCAGAAATGACCACCGAGAATTCGGCTCGTTGAACACAAACTATTAACATTAATTAAAAAAAATTAATCTACGAAGTTTACGTACGATGTGATGGGCGAGATACCGGCTGTGCTGTCTGGAATATCTTGCAGTCTATTGGAGTGAATGCAAGGGTCGTGGTTTAAACCGGCCACGACCAAGTTCACATAACGTGGTCACGTTTTGCCGCCATGTAAAATAACCGAAAGACCGGTGACATCTTCAGGAACGTGCCGAGATAGCACCTTGAAATAGGCCACGGTCGCTTTATGCTCTGGTTAACCGTACAGATTCAAAGAAGTTTTGTAGTCTACACAAAAACCTGCTAAGAACCAATGAATCTTTAATTCCTTTGAAGATGTAATGTGAACATACTAATTAAGGTTCAGGCTCCATAAAAGGTAGCGAATTAGCTTTTAAACAAAAACTCTGTTCCATGAAGTTAGTTAGAAGATATCATTACTTAGAAATTAGTCGTAGTTTTTCTTAATTCCCATATTGCTGGGTAATACGAGAGGAATACTTTGTGACGTGATGGTATGTGTAGATCCGGATACAGTGGCTCTGAAGATTTATAGTGAGGGCCCCTCCATCCCCCCTTTCGATCACCACAAAATTCTATAGGCTTCAATACATCCAGTGGCTGTTACAATTTTTAGCATATTTTAGCTTAAAATACCTCTAGAAATTAGAGGGGTTTTCTTTAATAAATTATTTTGTTTTGTATAAATTATATTCGAAAATGACGTAACAGAGATCGTCCTCTGAAATTAAATTAGAAATAAGATAAAGTCGTTATGTAATTCGTTTAACAGTTTCTGTTGTCGAAGAAATGCGTGGTTATGCACTTGATTTTAGATTAGGTAATGAAGGTAATCATTCACACATTCAACCAACAAATTATATTTCCTAATGTTCAGTCATAATAACACCAGTTATATTATGTTACGTATTTCATTTATACTCATTCATTGCACGAACTGCTTGCATGAAAATAATGCATTGTGGGAGGTTTGTCTGTCCGCCAGCGAATTCCATCTTTGAAAGTAGCAACTTGACGGATTTAGATAAAATTTAGTATAAGATAGTGTAATTGCGTCATATTGTGAATATTATATCAATTATTTATTTTAATCCGTCTGATCACAATATAATTTTTATTTAAAATTTCTTATAATTAAGATAATAAAATATCATTCATGTTCCATATCGATTGATCGATTTACATTGATCGATCAATCGATATGAAACATGAATGATATTTTATTATCTTAATTATAAGAAATTTTAAATAAAAATTATATTGTGATCAGACGGATTAAAATAAATAATTGATAAAATTTAGTATAATGAAAGTTACAGAACATTTTCATTTTGTTTTGTGCCTCAAATATAACCCTTAATTTACGTAAGCCCAAATAGAATTTGATCTACCCTAAAAAAAACAGAATCGTCATGCAAAGAAACTTATATCACAAAAAGTGAGGTTAGAAGAAATATATAATTTATTGCAGAAAAATGGGGACTTCGAAGCTGTTTCTGGGGTCAGTGCCATGGACTGAGTTATTATTTCTGTCTCCGTCCTTCGCTCTTCATTTGTATGAGCGTCTCGTATTTGATATCCGCGATGTCGTGTGGTCATCTCGTAGCCTGGAGGCAGTTACGAGTTGAAACGTGAGCCGAGTCGTCACATCGAGCGCGGCTGTCCACAAGTGCACTGCCCCTCGAGAAGGTTTGTGTTCTCACATCTTTCAGTTTTGTGATAGCAGTTGCGATGTGTGAGTTCGGCTGACGTGCGTTTACCACGGAACCACACCCGTTCTCGTGGGAAAATAGGTTCTTCGTTTATTCCACCGTACAGCTTAACGATTGTATCGATTTTTGATTCGAGTGTTGTGTGAGTGGTGTCGATATTCATTATCGTGGTTCACAGATGTTTTACTCGCTTGGAAATCAGGACTCAAACGGATATCAAGTCTACGTTGTGTAAGAAACGTATAACACGCTGGCATATACAGAATTTTGAAGTGAAGATTATTTACGAAATTTATAGAGTGTGAGTTATGAAAAGGCTTTGTGTTAACAGTTTGAAGGCTTAAGACTCGTCAAAATAACGTTTTAAAATGCAGTCCGTACCTCTAAATAAACACACTGCACCAACTATTACAAATTTAAGTATGTAATGATAGTTAATTTGTGATTAAGAGGAAAACGTTTCTTAAATGTTTAAAGAATTCTTAGGAGATTTTATGGTCTTCATTCTAAGAACCAAGTTAAACCCACAAATACCTTTATTGTGTGAGCGATATGCATGACTGTGATCTCAAAAGTTGCCTGCAGAGTATCAGAAGTTAACATTTTGTAAGCGTTGCATTCATTAGCACCGAATTTGTTACGTACAAATACACGGAGCTTCTTGGTTGTTGTTATAGAACGTAATTGTTTGTCAAAATATCTGTCGATTTTATTTTAAATGATTTCTTATGATATATTTTCGATTTAATACGCTTTTAAAAATCATTTAAAATATTATGATTAAAACAATACAAATTTCAGTATTTGTTACTTGTTTTACAATTATATTTTTTTAAAGTTTCTGTAACCTTTCGTAAAAACATTTATTTGTGGGTGTTTTTTAAGTCTTAATCGATCATGTAGTTGTGCTGTCATTAATGGATTTTCATACACGCTTCTGAAGACAGTGAATTGTGGAATTTTTGTGCATTTTACATTACGATGTTAAAGTAGACAAATGTGTTTAACTCTTAAAAGCCTAATATCGACTATATATTCAACACGCTTTAATAATTAGCAACTCTTTGTTTTGTTATGGATTTCGTATGATTCTCACTTTAAACGAAGATGTTTTTGTAAACAGCTTTAACGTATTGATCTTTTTAATGGTGAAGAGTTGTGTTTACTTCGCGGTACGGACTGGATTCGTAAATATTATGAAGACGAGCTTCGGCTTCAAAGGGTTAACCAGCTGATTTTCGTAATGGTGAGGTGTAGTGTTTACTTCGCGGTACGGACTGAATTATTAAAATATTATTTAGACGAGCTTCGGTTTCAAAAGGTATAATTATATAAAAGTTTAATGTCCGGGCTCTGAAGGTGGCCCACGATTTAATGCAATTTAAATTGAATTTAAATGACGGCTAAATCTAGCATTTGGGTCTTCGGTAAGCGGATGAAATGCCGTTGGTGGGAAGACACCGATGATGGACTCTTCGAAATTTCCGATCATGTGTGTGTAGTTAATCCCTGCGATCAGCTGGTATACACAGAAAGTAAGGTTATTTAATACATTTCTAGAACCTGTTAACTTGTAGCGAAGCCGAATAACTTGAAATGTGGCAAAATGTGGATTCCTA